AATGCCGAAGAATTTTCCCAGATTGGACGACGGAGATATCGAGCTCAAGCCCGTAACCTGCTTACCTTTGGCCCTCGCCACCGTCACAGCCGCGATTTTCAAAAGCTTTCCCCCTTTGCTAGCCATTACGATACTCGTCTTTTTCTCAGGTCTCTTGTTTAATTGATCGGTTCCTGTTCGTGGGAACGCCTTTTAAAGTCCTTGGATATTTAACGTTTTATGCCGCGAACTTCTGTAATGGACCCAAATTGACCTCAAGGTTTTTATCGGTTCAATTTAACCCAAAATCTATTAGGGAAACATGATTTTTTTGGGTTTTTTCTCTCTATATGGTTTGGATTGGATCGGATTTTGTTGATGTGGATTTAACATCGAATCCATAAAAGGAAATATATTTATTTTGGTTTCTTATTTAAATCATGTCCACCCATGATTATTTTGCTTTCCATTATCCTTTGAATTAAATTATAATCAAATTAAATTTCAAATTGGTCTACATCAATTTGATCTAAACTAGCTTGCGATTACAGGATAATAGTTATTTTTATTAAAAATTATTACTTTGGGTTTTATACAATATACTTGAATTTTGTTTAGTATTTTTTTTTCACTCCTAATGAATCATAAGTATTTATTTTCACCAAAAATATCCTTTTTTACTAGTCGATTACTATTGATTCAAGAATTATGTTAACAAAATGCCATTGTTTTTTTTACACATTATACAGAATCGAATTAGAGGATGGGTTTATCTGAACTTCTAAATACCTATTGGGTTTATTATTGAATTTGAAAACTTATAAGGGTTGATGTGCATTTACGGCTAAATTTAATTAGGGTTAAATCCCTAACACCAAACAGTACCCGTTTCGCGGATACTGTTTTTCGACTGTTCGCCGCACGCTCTCTCCGGCGATCGCTCCGCCGCAACATTGCCGGAGAAGTCGCCGTCTCCGTCGCGTCGCCGCCACGTCACACTAGGTGAGGCTTTCGTGCTGCTTGATTCTTGCTTAACGAAACATTTTTCATCTGACTGAATCTTACATTTGCGATGTTTCTGTCCGAATACGACACAATGTCAAAATTTTCTAACACAATTTCACGGATCACAATGTTCTCTTGCTACATTATTCTCAGTTTTGAATAATTGTTCGTAAACGGTCTCAATGATCATCGAAACCATCTTATCAATTCGTGCAGTGTGACTGGCGTCTACATTCTTAACGTTTTCGAGCTTAATTTGATGTTGTAGAACCCTAATTAGTTTTAAATAATGGTCATATTTGAGCTGTATTGTATGATTCAATTGTTCTGGATTAACTCTAAACCCTAAACCCTAGGTTGACATGAGTTAAGTGGGTTTGCTTAGAAACCGATTATTGTGCAAGAACATGTTTGTAAGAGGGAACATCAGAATGTTTCAACTAAATTTAGTGGATGTTGTACCATTTGACATTTTCTTGTTTGTTGTGTTCTTGGTGATAGTCCCGAAGTGTAAATCTTTAATCATGCCCACTAGGTTTAGCTGATATAAGCTTGCAATTTGAATCTATGTTTAATGAACTTACCATTAGGGATTAGGCTGAGTCACCCATTTTCATTCAAAGGAGAATGACTAGGCGTTTCACAAGTTCACAACTTGTCTTAAATATGTGATTTCCTCATCTTCTCTGTTTATTTAATGTTATCTTGTTAAGGTTGAAGCTTTGGTCAATCTCTTAATTTAGTACGTCTAAGCAGGAACTAGTATACTCTATAGAAAGGGAAAGGATGATGTATTTAGGCAGAGATAGCGAGATACGTGGGAGATTACGCGAATGACATATCTGGTTTTTTTAGTGTTTAAGATGATTATTCTTGGTGATGACAATGACACATGACAAAGTAGGGAATGACATGGATTTTGGTTGTGATGTCTTTTTTTTTTTTTTGGATCAGCTTCCACTTATCTAAAGTTTTGCTTTAATGTGTAAGCATATCTTGTGGGCCTTCTCATCCAATGATTTGCTTCTTTCCTCGAATTTTGTCCCTCCCTTTTGTTCTGTAGAACCGTAGTAACAGCATGCCCTCTTCTTCTTTCGGCAGAATTGTCTTTTTGTAGAACAAAACCATGATATTAACCAATGTAAGTTTCCAGTTTTACACCTGAGGTTTAAACCAGTAATTCCTTTAGAACTTGATGTCCGAAATCTCCTGTCCGGACCACCAACCATGAGGCCCCGAATGCTTATTAGTTATCTCCCCATGCAAATGAAAATTCTTGCTTCGTAATTATGTTGAAATAATTCTGCAGTTGAAAAGTTTGCTTTTTAACTGAATGTTTGGTAATTCATCACATCAAAATTTGCCTTTTCCTGGTTTGTGAGGGAAAAAATAAACAAAGTAAAGAACTTTGAGATGAAAATGAAAGCAATGGTCCAATTTGTTTGTTCATGTGCTTTCACTGTTAGTATCCGCAAGTTGTTAATATTCTATTTCTGATGTATACCTTTCATCGTTTTCTTTGGTTGATGCACTTGCAGGTGATTAGTAAAGTATAGAGACCCTTTTCTTTTAAGGAACCCCATGAAGATAAAACGCAATCCATATATGTTATTCTGAAACTTAGAGGCATTACCATCTAGCCTAAAACAAAAAAGGAAGTTATCAGATATACTGGACATATGGAGAAAAATGATCAAAATTCCGCATCATCGTTTTTTGTATCATACTAAACTCTCTGTCGTGTCCTGTTCGTGTTTTTTCTAGTTGTTACCTTCTGCTGGACTTCACTTCAACTTCACTCGATGCAACGCCATGTAAGCAACGAGCCGATAACCCACCAACATCAATGCCATAACCGACACGTCTATCCATAAATTGTTCAGACCCATTGATTTAACAGCCGGGAAATCTCCAACTCTGCACCAAACGCCCTTCGAGCACTCATAGTAATCGTCATCACTGTATTGAACACCCAAAAGAAGCTTGTAGCAGTAATAGCTATAGCTCAGGTACTTGAGCCAAACGATGAAGGAAGGGATTTGCTGCACATAGTACCCTCCGGCAATGAGAAAGACAAGAGTAGTGACAGATGCTAATGTTGTGGCTTGTTTAATGTTCATGAGAAGAGCACCAAAGGCTAAGCCGAGACCTTGAGCGACTAGGACGTTGTAGAGAACAACCAGTAGTGAGAGGATAAATGTGGTAGGGTCGGGTTTGAGTCCGCCCATCCAGTAAATTATGAACACAAAAGCTGTTGGAAGCGCAAGTTCCAGAGGTAGGTCCCCGATATTTCTAGCCATGAAGTAGGAGGAAAGCCTGTACATTCCGGAAGATCGTTCCTTTATTAGCATTCTCTTCTCTTGGGGAAACGTGAAAACTGCGTTGTAGAGTGGGTAGAAGCCCCAAAAGACCGAGAAGAAGAAGAGCAAGGCTATCTGCATTCGAAGCACCTTCGTTAGCATCTCGAGAAATATTAACATGGATAAATGTAGATTACGGTCAGATCATCAAGCCATTTGAAGAATCGTGAAAAGGGTTTTGTGGTTAGCATGCATCTTTAGCTAGGAATCTGTCTTCTCTATGAATAGCTGAAGATTAATGATTCAAGATGATCACCCTCTACTTTTTTCATCACGAAGAAGAGTCTTACTCTATCTTGGATGTGAGATTTTGGTGTATGCCACCACAGAAGGCCACCGAGAAAAGCCACACTGACGACTTGGAAAATTCTAAGCTTGTTGAAAGATTCATGTCTTCTCTCTCTGACTCCCCTTTGGAGCAGTACACTGAACTGGTACCACCAAGTTGTGCACCACTGTTCGGGCTTGAAGTTGTTTCCTGCTCAGTTTCAGAAAAGATGCGTCAGTTTAGTAACTGTATAGGAGCAGAACACAACATAACAAGACTACTCGAACACATTATTCTACTGAGTAGTAACTGGCATTGTGAATTTGTTGAAAGGAGAAAATTACCCCTAGCCTTGGCAGAGTCAAAGCCATGAGACTCGGGACTGCAGAGTTCAGCTTTCAGTTTAGTAGAAATGTTCTTCTCATAAGCTGAAGCAAGGGCTTCTTTCACTGTCTTCTGCTCTTGCTCCGAGTTCTCTGCTTGAGATTCAGGTGCAATTCCTGTGGTGTTTCACGTTAGGGAGACAGGCACAGCTGAAAAGAAAGGGGTTTCAACCCATTGTTTTCTTGATCTGAAAGTAGAAAAGAAGGGAAGACCTTACCATTAGCTAGGTCAAGTAAGAGGTCAGCTGGGTTGACTGTCATGGAAGTGGAGAATCCGACAGAGCTGAAATATTCCAGGGCTGAAGATGCAGGGCCATAGTAGATGGGGCTTCCTTCAGACAGCAAAACCACCTTGTCGAACATATGGTATAACCGACTCGATGGCTGGTGAATGGTGGTGATAACGGTTCTTCCTCCAGAAACTAGGCGTTTGATTGTGGTCACAATACGTTGAGCAGTGGTCGAATCAAGACCGGATGTTGGTTCATCGAGAAGGAGCAAACTCGGGTTGATCAGCATTTCTTGACCAATGCTGACCCTCTTTTTCTCCCCTCCTGATATTCCTCTGAACAAGGGTCCTCCAATCATGCTGTTCCTACACCGAGTCAATCCCAGTTCTGTAATAACTCGGTCCACATGTTCAGCCTTCTCATCTCTGGTCATGCTGCCGGGTAAACGCAGAAGGGCAGTGAAGAAAAGGGTTTCCCAGACAGTGAGGTGAGGGTACAGAACATCATCCTGGGCAACAAAACCTGTTCTGCGCTTGATGGAACCGGAGAAAGGCGAACCATTGTATGTAATTTTTCCGGAGAAAGTACCGGAAAGACGCCCTCCAAGAGCGGAAAGAAGAGTGGTTTTGCCACTTCCTGATGGACCTAACATCGCCAGGATCTCTCCCGGGCAAACCATACCCGTTACGCCATTCAAGATCGTCTTCTCCTTGCTGCTCCAGGTACCCCAACACGAACCCTTCTGCTCAATCTTGACTTTGTAGACAATCTCCTCAAACTGTTAACAACAAAAACCAATGGCAGAGACCAGACATAATTAGATTGAAACCTAGAGAAAGAAAGAAAGATAAAGCATAAGACTTGTGTCTTTTTTTTTTTGTCTAGTTTTGCAGGAAGAGGCACCTTGAGAGTTATCGAGTACAAGGCCTTCTGCATCTCTGACATGTCTGGCAAACCTCGTGCCAAGACTCCACCATTTTCTTCAGGCCTTGGGGCTATGCAGTTCTGAGGCATTATGGTCAGTGATGGTAAATTATGGAGAGTTTAAGTTAATGATAACGGAGAAAGCACGGGAGGAGAGACTTAAGAGTTGGTGGAGTTTCTCTCTTCAACCGTTTGGTAACTTTCCCTTGACTCCTCCAAAGTGAAGCATGAAAGCACATAAATATATAGTACCAAGGGGAGAGACAACTCGCACTTAGAATATATCCTGTTTGAGAGAGAGAGAGAGAGAGCTTTATGATGTTGGCCATTCAATCGTCTATGGTGGGTTCCAACGTTCTCTCCCTTAAAATTTATTCTAAAGCTAAACCTTTACCAAATATTTATACCTATCTCTTCCTTTGTTCCATTTATCAGTATCTTACCTCTAATTCTGTTTTTTTTATTATTATTATTAAATCAGCATCCTCCTTGACTCCTGTGGATTCTTAACTCTATGATGTGATTGCAGATTTACACTGTCGGAGGAGGAGCTTTAAGTAAACGACTGCAGACTGGTTCATGGACTCGAAATCATATAAAACCTGTAAGACCTTGAGCTTATTATTGTTCTTTCACTTACATAAGATTAGTTATGGATGGTAATGAGAAAAATGGTTGAATAAATCAGGGAAAAAAAATTGAAAAAAAAAAGAATTGAGGCATGGGGGGGAATGGGTATTTGCGGCTTTGCATGATACATTCATAATAATGATGCCTTCCACCATCCAAAAAAACTAAAAACTGACTGGACTGGATCACAAGAAACAGATCCAAGTGGGGAGATCCTCAAGATCTTCTAAAATAGTAAATATCTTATGGGTTTTCATTGTCACATACCATTTCCTTCCCAAAGCATTGTTTCCTTTTTTAACATTATATGCATACACATATATACATATACATATAGATAGACGTCTCATATCGTTTCCTACATGTCTTGTGTTGCCATGATGTCTATTTTTGGCCAAAAAAAGTGCAGTTGGTTTCTTCAGTTCACCAAAGAGAGAGATGTGATTTGTCTTTTTTCTCTAATCACACGTGGAGATAAATTTACAGCACGCGTAGTACACGCGTGACTGAAAAGACAACCTTTTCGCTGTGTCATATGCTGTTTTGGTTCTGTGCTTATTGCTGACATCTCTGCAAGCTTCTGTTTCAAGTGGAGGCTTAGCTTTGCAACGATTGTGAGTAACCCGCTACTGTTCTTTTGGGTACGCTCTGTGCAAATTTTAAAAATACCCAAATTTATATGCAATAACCTACACTTTACTTGTACGCAAGAATGCCCTTGTTTACTTGTTTACTATCCTTATCCTTTTGCTCCAAACGGTTAGGGGAGGATGTGGGTCGGATATCCGAGTTTTTCCACGATCTTTTAGGGATGTGCATTTCGGTATTCGGTTCGGGTTTGGTACGGTATTTGATCAGTTCGGGTTATTCGGTTCTGAAAAAATATGTACTAATCTGTTATTGTATTCGGTTTGGTTCGATTTGATTTCAGTTTTGATATATATATATATTTGGATATTCGGTTTGATTCGATTCAGGAACAATAGTGAATTTTTTGATTTGGTCCTGTTCGCTTCCTCGAAATGTTCACCCTTAGTATATTCGATCTCAGTTGCGCTCCTTTTTTTTTAATGTAGGAGTATTCGATCTTGATCTCATGAACGTCGCATACCCGCTACGCGAATACGATGAGGGCTCATGTACAGGGGTATAAAACGGTCTGGTTTGGTCCAGTCCAGTCAACCCACCTCATCCTGATCTCAGAATTTTTTTAGCCTAATCTGGTCACCCAACTCATCCTGATCTCAGAATTTTTTAGCCAAACTCAGCCTGACCCATTTTTTTACGAGCAAAAAATTACTTAGTTCGGCACGACTCACTTGGCTCCCGGGTCAGCTCTTGTTCGTTCAGTCCATATTTTTTCGAGTTCAAATTTTCTTAGCCGGTAAAATATTATTAATTATAAACTTAGTATATAAAAAATGATTTTGGATTCTTTTGATTAAAACGAATTATATAATATATAGTGGTTATTATAGATATAGTAAATATATTTTATAAAAACTAGTTTAATATTTTTGTTTTTAATCTATAAAAACTCTATTTTTTACAGATTAAAATACGCTTTTTTGTACAAATATATTTAAAAAAGATTCTTCCGGGCCTAAAATCATAAACTGTCATAATTAAATTAAAGTCATTATTTAGCAATGTAGGGGATTTGGAGGTGTGACCAAGGTTGACGAAAGAAAGAAAGAATGACGTGTACCTTATGGTCAAGAACGACCAAAGGATGGAGGAGGTAATGGTCGAATTTTGATCATCTGAATTTTAATCCCAATTTTTTTTTTCTATATGTAATAACAAAACCTTAACTCGACCAAATCTCCAAATTTGAACAATTCGAAACCCTCGACTCGGCCGTCAAACCTCAAGCTCTCTCGGCTCTCACATCCGTGGTCGTCTCGCTGTCGAAACTCTAATCCCTTCCATAGATATAGGTAACCGTCCGATGAAATCCGAAATCGAACCCGCAGCTCGAGTTTCCTGACACCACTACGCACGCACCAAAATTTCGCACTCCAACATCCTGTCATACCTGAGCCCGCACCTGCCGCGACTCAAGTTTCCAAATTTGAGAAATCTACGGACCGCTACCATGGGTCCTGAATGGGTTTCGGGACCCCGACAGCATCTAGCATCTAGGGCATGTAAAAAAAATTCGTCTGTCTGAAACGGCATGAAAAAGCTCATGCTGCTGGCTGAGGTTCCTCTGGTCACTTCACTTGCCACGAATTGTCACTCGGATTCGTTTTCACGTGCCTCTGTCAAATGTTCCAATATTATTCCACGTCATTTATATCGGAAAATATAAAATAAAACCGTTTTTTCAGTTCGCATTCACAAAAAAAAAAAAAACATGATCAGTCACATATTTTGCATATAATCTTCTTCTGTCGATTTGCTTATCGTCGACATTCCCATCATTCAGACAAATACCCATTCGAAATCCATCGTGTTTTTTTTTTAAAAAAAAACGTTTTTTTTTGTTGATACATGAACAAGATTTACATTTTCATACTGAAGTCGACACCGGACATCTTCTTGCAGATAATCATATTTTTTACGTGTGTGTGTGTGTGTATATACATGCAGAGAGAAACCGACCAGATTCATGCAACGTACGAGAACTCAAAAAATTCTTCAGACAGAAATAATATAACCAAATTAATAACCATGTCTTATTGCATTGGCTTGAATCTAAAACTCGTATCGATGAGATGAATGATTACAAAATATATATATTAATATATTAATATAGGAAAAAAATACGTAACTACGTTATATAATTCAGTCGCATAATTCTTGTATTATGTGATTTCATTTTTTCTTTTTTAACGTTTGTACGATCATTACTATCAAATCGTTTTTTTAAAAACAAATGGTGTTTATACACGAAAATTTGGAAATTTTCGTATTTATTTTCCTTCCAAAAAGTTTGTATTATTTGTTATTTATCGACAATGTTAATTTAATATTACAGAATAAATAATGCGGCAGACCTAGTTGTAGAGAGAATAAACTAATCTTAAGACTTTTTTGAAAACATTATCGTCGCTTTGGTAAGAGACGTCGCGTTGGGTTTACGGGCGTGTGATGTGATTTCACGATTTCATTAATTTCCAAAATTTTTAATTTATTTTTTCGGTTATCTTCTAAGAATTATTCCTTGGAAGAAGGTATTATAATATGTATTAAAAATTAAAAAAGCAGAAAGAATAATTAAAAAAATGAATTTCAATAAATGGGGGAAAGGATATTAGATTATGGTATGAAATGAGATAGTATAAGCATTAGATCCTCCTCATCTTTCTCTCAAAGATAGAAAATTCGCCAAAGATAGAAAATTCCATTTCTTTTTATTTTATTTTTGTTCAACTCCAATTCAAACCTACTTGCATTTCTTTTTATGGTGTATTAGAGAGTAATTTCGGCAACCCACTATTTTGTGATATTATTAACAAGAAAAAGGATTAAAAAAACAAAATATATTATATCTTAATTTTTTTTTTAATCGACATAAAAAAAAACTTCGAATCCAAGTTTTGGTGATCTGACAGTAAGAAAATAAGTATACTTCGTATTCAAATCCAAACGTGGGGATGAGTCCTTAAATAAATAAGAATTTATCTGTGACAATGGTTGATTCCGTGTCTAGTAGATTAGTTAGACCAAAGATCTATTAAACTTTCTAATTATAAAAAAAAATTGGGTAATTTGTCTTGGAAAAAAATATTAGAGTTTATAAATATTTGGTGAAAGAGGGATCCCTTGCTTTCATTTTCAATTTTATTCGGATTTGAAGAAATTATTTTAGGATTAAAATATCTTCTTCTTTTTTTTTCGTTTCTTCTCGACCAAAGTGTGGACAACATTCCGATCTTCAAAATGAGATACGACCATTATGTAATTGCACTATAAAAATATCCAACATATTTATATAGACATGCATACACCCCAACATATTGCATATATATATATATATATATATATATATATATATATATATATATATATATAT